AATGATTTTTTGGTAAACCTGCAATAACTAAGTTTTTGGCCTCATGGGGGCAGCAGAAACAAGTTGTGAACACAACACCTAACATCACCTTTTAAGTTAATACTTGAACTTGTTGCTTTTTTACACGCACACACCAAAAATGGAGCAACGTTAACATTTTGCATTTGTGGTTGTGTTTCTGGCCACCTGGTGAATGTAAGTCCAATATTCACTTTCTCTCTTTTAGCTCTGTTTTTGGTCACCACCAACCCCTGAAGGAAACAACAAAACAACAAAATCTGATTATTTAGCTGCTAAATGCTCCACTATGTTTGTTGCTGAAAACAGTGGCTATGAGAGCAGTGAGAGTGAACCAAAAACAGTTAAGTTATGAGGGGGAAAAGCAAAAAATGGAGTTGAAAGACGCTAAAAAGTTTAGTAAAGCTGAGGGAAACTGTAGAATCAGATGATAATTGTCACCAATAGACCCCTTTAACATACATTTTTAATATATATTTCTACTGATCATGGCAACTTTAAACTCATGGTGAAGTTAAAAATATGTTCACCATTTTCAAATGTATATCAATGTTTTCCTAGAACAAATCTGTACAATAAAAAAAAAAAGTCCTTTTATTTCAGATATGCTGTGACGGATTTTCACAATTGTGCCATGACAAGTGTAGATATTGTAGTCAATATTTTTTCTGTAAAGTCAGTTATTTTTTTATCTCATGGTTTTTAAAATTTCACTTTCAAAGTTTTTGCTCACAAAAAGTACCGATATGCCACTAAAAGTTATTAGCGGGACAGGGAAACACATACATCTACAACTGGAGCAGGTTTGACACAACTCTTGTCGTATGGGGAACACGATTACATATGCTCTTTGTGCTTATGTACATATTCTCTGTGATCTTACTCCTCTATAGCACGACTGTTAACTCCAAAAAAGAGCCACATGGCATGCGACCGCTGACTGATGACAGCCTGGTGGGCCACAGAGTTGAATGGATGGAAGGTGGCAGAGAACAGGAAGTTATATGTATGTGTGTGTGTGTGTGTGGGGGGGGGGGGGGGGTCTGTTTTGAGAATCCTTTGGCAAGTTGTCAGTGTTGGACTGAAAAGGGACAATTATGACCAGTTAGGCCTTTTCAGAGCCTAATGAGGAGCCACAGTTACAAGTATCTGGACAAGAGATAGCATTTTCTCTATCACACACACACACACACACACAGATACAAACCCTTTTGTGTGCACACAAAACACACGTGTGTATGTGCAAGGACACACGCACAACCCCAAAATGGCCCGGGCGAATATTCAGGCGTGAAAAATGATGGATTGTACCAGAACACCCATGAACAGAAAGCGCGGTCAGTATACACAGTGACAATCATCATATTTTTGTCATGAGGAACTTTATGTCCTTTAAACCTAACTTTAACCTCAACGTAATTAATTATTAACCTTAATAGCAAAGTTTGTTATTTATAAACACAAGATCTGTGTGATATGGAAAAATGTATCTTCATAGTTATTATATTATATATTTATATATGGTATCTGATTATGTATGAAAGACAAAACTTGTCAAAGTTGATGTTAATCTCAGTAGGCCTAATGAGAAACAAAACACGAACTGTTCATTTCAGCCAGTACTTGGTAGTATTTCAACAATTGTTCTTGTGATAATTGTGCCACTGTACTTACTATGAAAAGTTCATTTATACCATATAAATGCATATAATGATTTAAAGTATGTTCAATAGGTAAAATGATCTTCTGATAAATCAGCAGTGCTTCTAGTTTTCGTCACCATGCTAACATGCTCGCAAAGACAATGCTAACATGCTGATGTTAAGCAGGTGTAATATTCACCTCGTTCACTGTGCTAACTTAGGCCCTGTCTACACGAACACGGGTATTTTCATTTTGCGGTTTGCCTGTTCGTCCACACGGAGACGCAGTATCAGGTCACTGAAACCGAACATTTTTGAAAGACCCTGCCAGGGTGAGGATTTTAAGAAACGCAGGTTGCAGTGTTGTCGTGTAGACAGTGAAACTGTAGTTTTTGCCTTGCGACGTCAGAGTATGTGCTGTTATCTGCTGTGTTTGATGTCAGATGCCTGCTTTGCTTACAATTTTATTAGGGTCCGGTTCGCCAACGCGGCTTTACCATATCGCTGCCTGGTGGTTTGGCATGCTCTTGACAGCGTGTTTTTGTGTTTTCATGAAGACAGAGATTTTGTTTTTAAAACGAAGGAGGATAAAATACCTGGCATAAAAATACCTGTGTCCGTGTGGACTAGGCCTTAATGTAACGGAAGCCAGCGAGAGACGCACTAACAACTGATGCTAGTGCCCGTGGATGTTAGCTTTCTCGTTAGCGCGTTCGCCTCCTGTACCCGAGGGTGCCGGTTCGAATCAGGACCGTGCAGTACAACTTGGGTCCAGTTACATTAGCATGTTGGCATGTTAACATTTGCTAATTAGTACTTAACACAAAGTAATACTGAAGCTGACGGAAATGGAATTAGCTTTGCAGGTATGTGGTCATTAACCAGTAAGTATTACACAAATTAAAGTTTAGACCTCAGGGTTATCTGAACCATTTATAGCAATCCATCCAATAGTCGGTGAAATATTTCAGTCTGGGATGACACCACAGCTGGTTTACTGTACTTTTCTTTTTCTTGTACACTTGTGTATGTTTTCTTGGTGCAGAAAACCCACCGACTGTGGGGACATAAAATCAATTAAAACCAATTTGTTCCTTTTAAAAATCACTCAAATTTTTGGTGAAACTTTGTAAAAGTGGAAAACAATGGCAATTCCTCTGATCCTGCCCTTAATGTAAATTATTCCTCCAACTCCAAACAAAAGCTGTAGCCTGACAAACATGCCTTAAGGAAGAAAAGACTAAAAATATGTAATGTATGTAAAACTTTTTTTTTTTACATGAATTAAAAGGAGACATGAAAAGTACAATAACACATACACATAAACAAAAGCCCACACTCCTGTAACAGGACAAAAGCTTTCCGTCAGTAACAGCTTTGCTGCAGAATAGTGAAGCAGCTGCAGGGTTTTTCATCCTGCTTGATTACCGTCTGAACAAACCTGTCCAATCAGTCCCATTCATGGGTACCAGCACTCACGGAAGAACTGTGACCTGATTGACCTCTGCAGAGGGCCAGGCTCTCAGCCTTGACCTAGGTGTGGAAGCTTATTGTCGGACTTGCCCGCACCAGCACTCTTACAAAGGCTGGGATGCCAGAAATTAGGCACTTGAGGGAAACTGGAGAACTCCTGGCTAAACTCCTGTCCAAAAAAAGCCAACTCTAAAAATCAAGTGCCGTAATTGGGGAGAATGTTTTACTCAAGAGGAGTGTTGATAAATGCATCTGTTTTCCCGCATGGGTATATTGTGTGAGCAGGAGGCAAAGAAGAGTGTCGGCAGGCATAGATAGATTTAGCCTTCAAACATTGCTGAGCCTCAATTTTTAACAGTTATGTATAACATTGAGCATTTTCACCCAGCACACTGTTTTCCTATATCTATTTAATATTTTGATTAATTTAAAATCTCATAATAACAAAATCTCATCAGCTGCTTCACTACAGAGCATCCTGTTTGACTTGTGGACTGTCTCCAAATGAGTCTTAATGAGCCAAAGCCTCCAAAATATTTATTTTTCAACTAATTAATTTATCGCTCTGTACCTATGTGGGGACTGAGGCTGAATTTATGACCACTATTACAATATTATTTAAATTTGGGCTATATAGCAAGTGAAACACCCATGGCTGCAGGACTGGAGGTGAAAGAAAAGTGATATTAATCAGTGTGGGTAGAAAGTACAACCAGCCTAATGCAGAGGTTTCATATATTTAGATTTTATGGGCTAACTGTCATCTGGAGTGCAGCAAGATCTGGGTATAGGGGTGTAAGACTGGGCTAGAAGCGACATATGCAAATTACAAAACAGGAGGTCACTACTAAGGTCAAAAGTTTTTTGTTTGTTGTTGTAACTACTTGCATGAATTGTTGTCAAAGAGTCCAGAATGCAGAGAATTAAAACAAAAAGTTGAATAAACTAGAACAAGATTATTTTCTGTCCACGTAGGTTTGTGATTTTCAGGCATAACGCTGAATTACCTGCAGAGTTCAGTTGCTTTCAGGACCATCAGTCTGAGGACACTTCAACTGTTTAGAGACTTTGCTAATTAGAATTTTATTTTTTTATGTTATTCCTTTGCTATTTATGATTGCTTACTCAAATATAGTTAATTCAATGTCTAACTTTTTATACTGGTATTGAGTTATTTTGCTTGATTCATTTTACTGAAATCATTTGAAGATTCTGTTCTTGACGTGTTCTGACCTTGGGAAGTTAAGAGTTTCTACACAGTGGTATGTATAATTTATTACATACATGTCAACATATTAACTTGCTTGACTATTTATGTTGACAACATATTAGCTTCTAGATTGTAAATTTATAAAAACTAAATTTCCTTTCTGCTTTAGATTGTTCGTTTTGCCTCGAACGCAAAAAGTTCGAAGATGAACATTGTCCATACTCTTCCTCTTTTAATTTATATATGACATTTGGTGCTGCCACAGTGCTAAAACTAGTTTCCATGTTTCCTCTTGGTTGGCTGGCCACAGCAGGTAAATACTGAAGATTTCACTGTGTGATGGAACCTTCTTCTGTTGTATTTCCTCTACTAAATAAAGAATTTTAATAAAACCTTTCTCCTTGCTCTGCATTAGAGGGCATGGATAAGTTATCAGGACATGAAGACATCAAAAGGTAAATATACTGTATATGTCTCATTACAGAGTGAGCTCAATATGAGACCAGCTGTGAAACCATTCAAACTATAGCTCTACAACAGGGCAAATGATAACATTTTTGGTAATGGTATATGATGGAAAATAACAGCAAAATAGGGTCGACGGGTGGCATGAGGTTTTTCTAATCTAATCTAACTTTCATTGATAATAAACTCACATTCCTCAAAGTTGGAGCGACCTTTGTTGCTGTTTGGATGATGAGGTGTGTCGTCCTGCAGTTTGGAAAGCATGTTCAGCACCTTTGCTTTCCTATCAAGACTTTCAGTCCCCCTTCCTCCAGCTGAGGACTCATCTTGGTCTTTCCACTCTGGATAATTGGACTCCTCCTCGATGGGGCCCCCTTCATCTGTGCTGGAATCTGGAGCATAGAGATACAACGTAAAATATGTAAAGAAAAATCAACGGAGTCTTCATCAAGTAGTCTTCTGCTCTGTCTGAAATGTATTTATCACTAAGTAAGTACAGTGGTTAACTTTTTAAAGTAATTACCACAGTCCTAAACAAGAAAAAACACATCTGTATTCATGGTCGTTTACGTGGAAGTAGCCACTTGTTAAAAAGCACTAAAACCTTGTTCTGTTCCATTAATAAACAGTAATTCTCATCACATTGTTCTCCTAAATGCCACAGTCACATCTCCCGTCAGTCCTTTCAGAGTGTCACTAAGGAACGGACGCTCTCCCTGAAACTTAAAGAGCCATGCATTTTGTCACTAACCAGCCAATTAAAAGTCCCATTATCTCTGAAAAAAGTCCACAGAATACACTTCTTGGTGTTGCAGAGCAGAGACAAAGAGTGCCATCAATGCAGACTTGAGCTTAAGGAGGGCTCTGATTGTCTTTTGCAACAGCTTCCATTAGAGTTTTGGACTCTTTTCTTCGTGCTACTTTTGCAAACCCAAGAGGTACTTGTGTTAGCGCATGAACGATAATTCAAATGTGATACGTTTGGAGATGGTTCTATTCATTAGGAGGAGAAAACTTGACCAGCCTAGTAGCTGACAGGCAGAAAATTCATCAAGCCTTCCAAACATGGTGGCGTGGATTCATTTATGCCGCCAGCGAGCATGCAGAGGTCAGCAGTCCAGATTGATGGAGCCATGTCTCATTTGACAGGCCGTCTTCCACCACACTGCACACAATCACACGCTCACATCAGCCTCTGTGTCCTGCTCAAGTCTCAATGTCACCAAAACAGATGACAGGATGAGAAATTTATTTATCTTTAGGACGCACAATTCATTAATTTCTTATGCTTTTTCATATGCAACATAAACCAAATGTCTGGAATATCTACAGTGACATCATGATGAATATGATGTGAAGATAATAGTTTTCAAAAATCCAAAACTTTTTCTTTAAACGCAACATACATGATTTTATTTGATTAACTGTATAATCTATAAAACATCTGAATATAGTTTAAATGCGCTCAGTATTCTTTAGAAAGTAGTGTGGCCCTGAGACCAAATTTCTTGTTTTGTCAGATCAAAAAGAATTGGTCAGAAGGTGGTTGCATCAAAATTTGGCTTTTTTTCCCTTGATCCAATGACCCTAACAATGGTCAACTAACTGGTTAACTGACCAATTATTTCAACAGTGGTTATAAAGTCCAGAGAGTTTCTGTAATGTGCAATCTTTAAAGCAGGATGAAACCAGTTTCCTCCTTTTGAAACCCTCCTATCCTAACCTCCAACGTGTCCTAATCCATGAATGCATAGCAGTGATTACCGGTCAGTTAAAGCTGGAAACAAGAGCCCATCTAAAACACACAGAGCAGGTTACCATACCAACCACAGCATCTGAACACAGCAGATAGCTGGATTTGGCTGCGAGCGGCCGAGTCAAATCCCCTCGCTGATTTCGTAAAAGGCCACTGAAGACAATAAACACACACACCCCTTCAGCCGACTCTCGCCAACACATACTGCCTGCCCTTTACCATCCAGCACGCCAGGCAGAGGCAAGAAGGTTGGACTTGTATCTCTTTCTTTGCGTGTTTGAGAAAGGGATGAACATCAGCGGTACAATCAGCGGGACAATCAGCGTGCCGAGGCTATTCATTGATGCCACCCAGAGCCTTCACTCCTCTATCTCCTCAAAGAATGGCAGAATAGGAGCAGGGTGGAGTAAAAAGGAAAATCCTCGCCAATTTATTATTCATGGGGAGGGGATTTTCCTTTCAGGGCTCCTTTATCGAAGCCTTTTCCCAACACGTCACCCTCTCTATCAGCCCTGACAAGTGCCAATCAAAGGGCTTGAGTCCAGGATTTTGGGGAAACGCTGGAGGATTTTAGAGACAATAGCCAATGAGTCCACAGTGGCAGTGGGTTAGAGACAATGGTGACATGGCTACACTGACAGTGTGTGGTCCTCTGGGGGGGAAACGATCCTTGCTTAGTATACAACTAATCTCTGCTTGCATCATCTCTGTCTTTCTGGAGCCTAATCTGTCCCTATGGCTTCCTCAGCTTTCCGGGGCAATCCACCAGGGTCATTTCAGATTAGTGCTCTTTGTGGCCCCTGCACATCGCTACATTCATTTGGTTGCTAACATCTATAGTAGCAGCTGAATGCTAAACACTGGAGCGAGCGCAGAGTGACCGGGGCAGCAGGGAAACAGTCATGAAACAATTATAAGGGGAGGGATTATTCTACCTATGAATTCCTGATGAGGAAACATGGACAAAGGTCTTATCATGAGCCTCACTGGGGAGCAGGAGCATCTTTTCGCAGCTGATTTCTGGCTTCGGTTTAATCTCAGAAATTCTCAATCATTGTCGGTTGATCCAGAGACAAGTGGGCAATTCAGTGATATAGAACAGGCATCAGTAAAATAGCTTATCATTAAATTAAAAAATATTAGTAATAGCTTTATTAATAAAAGAGCTATTTCACTGATTTTACACACATGACGGTTACTTGTCACAGGTGTACTATTATGCCTGTGAATTGTATTTGTCTTCTGCAGCTCTGGAGAAGCTTTCCAAAGTTTGAGAAAATTATTTTAATTAATGACAACATTCAGTTGCATTGGGAAATGTAGGATACAGTTAGTTAACCTGTCTGTTTCTTGAGTCCCTCTACTTTACGGATGCAGGAGTACTAAAGCTGCTAAATCCTACATTTTGTTCACATAGTAGTTGCTAACTTTTTCTGCAGTTTGGTGCTGGGAAGGAAGTGTAAAACAGGTCTATCAGAGCTTTTTTTGTGAACACAGCTACCTACTTTAAATTTACAATTACATAACGAAAAGCAAAGTTTTGGCATTTTTGCTTCATTAACAACTTAAATGATCAATTGAATTTCTCACAAATAATTTCGACGTAAGTAAATATATAATATATATTTTCTCAATCTATCTACCCTAAATCTAAAAGCAAATTAGCATTTGGTCATTATGCAGATGGTGTTACAAGCCTATTTTCTCAACTGTCTCATATACATTGAGTCATAATGGGGTTATTCCCTCCTTTACTTGGGATCCCTATTCAAAGGTTGAACTGCTCGCGCCTCCAGGGTAACCGAATCTCACCTATCCACACAAAGACATGCCACACACTGGGCATCTTTTAGAGACTGTGTGACCTCAGGCGTGACCTCTCCATGCCCTGCTGATGACCAGGAGGAAGGGGGGGGGCCCTTCTCCACCTTCTCCTCGCCCAGAGAGCGACCATGCCTTTGGCCTCTAAAAGTTCTAAGCACACAAGCCATCACCAAGATCCTCTGGGTGACATCTCTTTTTCATGAGTGGAGTTTGTTTAATTCTTATAGGATGGTTAAAAGCCTCATTTTAAAATGTGTAACGACTTAAAAAGCTGCATTTTAAAGCAGAAGGGAATTTCAGTCATTGTATGCTATGACAATGGATGCACATTGTATACATTTAACAAGCTTATAAATTAATCATTCTCTATAAAAAAAAAGTTCTTAAATCATTCAAAGGTCACTCTTCCCTGTTAGAAACACAGAGGAAATTGAGCAACATATTGTACAGTAGAGTCAACATTTTGCAAAGTAGAGATAAAAACATACAAACCCAAGCATAGATAATGACATAATAAGGGGTTATTTTTCAGACTTTAGAAAACCCCTTCCAAACCACCGAAAAAAGAAGTATAACTGCTTTCCCGGGATACGTAATTATTCCCATAGTAAATTAGTTTTGACATGTAAAATTAGCGGAACTCACCAAATATTTTTCTTTGATGCAATGATGCAATCACCCCTTATACCAGTCAATAGCAAGATGTACCATTCTACAAGGCTTTATCAGTTGGCAATGCAATTATTGTTTACCATCAAAATAGACATGCCATGACACTGCAGGATGGCTTCAAGTGTCTTCAAAAGTGTATTTGCAACATCTGAATGACCTTGTCTGAGCTCAAAGGTTTGACCTTGATTTTTAAGATCTAAAGGGTTCAGTGTGCTTCAAACAAACTGGGAAATATGAAGTGTAAATGTGTTTATAGCTGTTCTGAAAGGTCAAGTCATTGTAGGTGAGAAGGACATTTTATTACTGTGCCTTTGGTCTAAACGGTTAGTTGCAGCTTGGCCATCAGACACATCAATCTCCGATATCATGGATGCATTTGTAACATCCTCTAGGAATACAGCACTCCATGGACCATTAGTGTCGTAAAAAATGACAGATAGTGGACGAGTCACCAGGGGGAAAACAACAGAGCATGATCACAGTCTGACAGATGTGTTCAAAAGAAGATGGGAGGAAAAAGAGCCAGCTAGTAGCTCAAGGGTGACTCTCCATTTCCATGTGGTGACAGTACCCCTGACCTTTTTCCTGCCTTGCCCTGCCAGCTTTCCAGTGTTTGTGGTCCGTACAGTAAGCGCTGCCTCTGAACCATCATTCATGAATGTACACAAGCCGACCACACAGGTGAAGGTGATACTTCGAGCCAGCTGGCCCTGGCAAGGATTAGCGGGCTTAAGTGTACCGGAGGCAAGGGAACGCTAAACACAGCGCTGACAGTGAGGAGACAATGGCTCCTAGTAAAGCAGAGCTGACAGGGACTGAGTGGGCTTTTACCGGATCAGACGCTAATGGGGAAGACAGGCTCTTGTATTGATTAAGTATTGTTGTTATAGGCTCTTAAGAGAGAGTGCCAGTTTTAACAGAGAGGTGATATGTCTTAGCAGCACACATAGATCAAGAAAAATTATTATCTTCTGGGTAGATTAAGGCATATAGTACCGTGACTGGACTTGAAGGGAGAATCTGCAGATCTGAACATGTTGTATGATGGAGTCAGGTCTATGATCCATGAAGACGGTGACCCAGAACCTCCTTCAGATGGATCCTTCAAGGAAACAGAAGACAGAATAAACCTTTACCAACTGTTCAAGAAAGTTGGTTTGCCATTAGTTGCAAAGTCAAAACATATTTTGGGTGTTTAGAGTTATAGAAGCAAAAGTCCTGTTTATTTTCATAACACATTTTCTAACACAGAACCAGCAGCTTCTCCCACTTCCCAACTCAAAACATACCTCTGGTTTATTGGTTTCTCTTCTTCATAAATATTCCAGTGTGTAGATACTTGGATCAGTGAGGTGCATTATGCAAATGGTCGTATGAATCCTGCTTTGAGCACTTCAGCTCGTCATTGTGGTTCGGCATAATTGCAGGGGGCTTATGAGTCTCATTCATGCTTTTCAGGGGCTCTCTCTCATCCGTCATAAAGGAGAGATTAATCGTAGACCACGTGGAGCACCTGCGTCCATTCCACTGCAGCCCAGCATGCACAAGCCCTGTTTACCCCCCCGACCCCTCACCCCTCAACCCCTGTCTGATCCTAGTAATGGTGCATCCTCTGAAAGAATCCCACCGTGTCGGCCGTTCAGCTGAGCGTGGCCCCCCTGCAACAAGGCAATGAGCTGGTGTAAAAAGCCTGCCTGCTCCTGTACGGTCAGGCCTCCCCCTCCTGCAGCCCGTGACTGATTAACCACACACCTGCTGCACGCCGCGTGTCCTCTGTTATATTGTGTCTCAATTATCAACAACAATTTGGCTTGTCTTACTGGAATAACAGTTATAAATGCATGCCAGTTCAAGTTTGTAAAAGGTCTTTGTCTTTGTGTGGGAGGGAGACTTTGTGTGCCAGGTTTGGGGTTAATGGCTGATAGGAGTTGATGCTTGAAGGTCTAGTGTTAGCTCACAACAAGGCACAGTCCTGCTTTTGGAGAAAATCTGATAGATGAATGGAGGAGGGGGGTAGAGAGTGAAAAGCAATTTCACAAGGGACACCGGCACTCACCGATATGTTTTCCTGGACTTTCCCTGCAGAGTCACACCTTTCAGAGTCGCTACCAGCTGTGAGGGGCCTCAAAACACCTGACAAAACCACAAAGGAGACAGCGTCAAGTTAAAGGAGAGGAAGCAATTGTGTGTTTGCAGTTGTGGTGTAGGCAGGCAGGCGTGTGCATGTGTACATAAGTGTTATCCTCTGGCGCACACTTACATGCACTTGTCTTTTATACTTGAGTGCATGTGCACAGATATGAGTAATGTAGTGTATTAGTCCCAATTATGGCTCTTAATCTCTGAGCAAATACTGGCAAAAAAAATGGAGCAACAAAACCCCTAGAGGAGCACCTGTCTATAGAAGTGTGCCAGGTGCAAACATTGTTCAGGAGGCACAGAGAGAGTAAAGACAAGCTTCCAGCAAACTCAGACAGATTTTCTTTTATTGTAAACATTGGTGGCACAGATTCATGAAGACCAAAAACAAAACCACCATGGTTGTCATATTTCTCTTTTGTTGGTAAAGACCCAGTTCATCTGCGTTGCGAGAAAACACATTTTCTCACTTACCTCTGGTGACACATCCAGCCATGCAGATAGATTTGGTTTTATTTGTCCAGGTTTTGAGATATCTGCAGCCATTCCAATACAATGGAGGTTTAATGGAAATTAAATGGCGTTGCCTAATATATTATATATATATATACACATACACATATTAACTATTTACCAGCACCAGCAGCAGTTTTCATGGACACTATTTCTTTTATAGCTATAGCTTCAGTATATCGTATTCTTCATTAGTATTCTTGAAACGCATTAGTTCCTTCGTCCCATGTCTAAAGGCTTGTAAAATTACATCTGTTCACAGAGCAGAAAGCTGTAGTTCAATCAAACAACACGTCTAGACAATTCTATCTCAAAGGTGTTCATAGTGTCACCCGTGTTTGTACATTAAAAAGTAACAGATGAAAAAAGCGATTGCGATCGAGAGGAGGTGTTTCAGACGCAAAACTGGCCTCTACTGAATGTGATGTGAAACGTTCACGGCAGATCACTAGAAAAGAAAACCTCCATTTGCAAACACAACAGATACATCACTGTTTCTATTGGCCAACCATAAATATTTGCAAGTCAAAGCTAAAAAAGGTGAACTCAATGCCTCAACTTGTCGGAACAGCATCTGAAACCCCCCCTGACCAACAAATTTTCTAACCATCTGAACCAACAATCGTGCGTCGGAATGTTGATTTCTCGCAGCAATTGGCCAGCTGTGCAAAAGTGAGACAGCATGCAGGATTTGAACTTCTCTCTCAAGCTCTCTTTTTAATTCCTCACACAACTACATCTGTCACTTTTCATACTAATGGAATTGAACAATTATCGCCTCTCTCCCCTCCCTAGGATGGTTGGCTGTTCACACTGCCTTCGAATGTGGCTGTTTGGAAAAGCTACAGTATAAACACTTTTGTCTGGACGAAATGTCCCACGAATTGCTTCATTACAAGCATTAACTCAGTGTTAAGTGTGGCTGTCTACATTTCACTGAGACAAATAAACCCAAAACAATCTGCATGTTAAGAGAGAGATATTCAATTGTAATTTGGTTGAACTGAACCTTTAACTAGTGTTTTCTCACTCTCCAAAGTGTTATCAGATCATAAATAACAGGCGCTAGACTAAATTGCTTTTCTGCACACAGTCTCCACAGTTTCTTATCCATTGTTATGTATGCAGTGCTTGGTTCTAAGTGTCTCGGGCTATCTTAGTCGGACTTTCCCGGTTAATGATCCACTCTAGCGGTTTGATCTTTATTATTCTCATATCCCTATAAACCTTTCCTCTGAGCTGCCACACCTTCGGGGAAAAGCAGTTAATACCTCGCAGCGGCATGCCTGGGAGCAGATGAGAGGCGGTATCACAGCTCGTTAAAGAAAAGCCGCTTGATGCCATAAAGGCATCGCTTACTCTCAAGGCCGGCCATGGTCTGAGAAAACACACCTACAGTGTCATGTTTTTCCCCGTCTGGTCATGTGTGTTTCTCCTCACACACACACAAGGACACACCTGTCTGACAGCTCCCTATTATTAAAGTGACGGTTTTTGCTTATCAAACGATATCCTTCAAACTGTCACAGCATGAGGTTTACAGTAAACTGAGGTTGCTTGTCAGTCACAATGGACTTTGAATATACTCGTAAAAAAATCAATTATTTTTTTAATCAAATCAAGTCCAGGGAATTTAACATGATCACAAATGAATCACAGTTAGATAGTTGTTGACTGAATAAACACATTTCAGCAGTTAGAAAGGAAACTTGTTGCTGACTCAGACTTTGTCTTTTGAGTGTGAACTTCCTCTTTTGACTCAGTTTCTACCTGACAAGAAGTTACTTGTATTAATGGATCTGGACATTTTTGTTGGATTATATTTAATCCTGGCATTCCCTCAAACTCCCATAAACTTTACTTCCTCCCATGATATTTTAAATATTCAAACTGACCTTGTCTTACTGAGAAATGGATATAGATTCTGCATAGAGACATTTTATCATTACAGTTGTTAAATGTGGAATGGGAATTTTGCCATATGAAATGTGTTTAGTATGACAAACAAATATTTCTTGTTTCCCAGAGCTTTCAACTTCAGGCTTTCAGGTTGGAAGCTCTTTTAAAAAAGCTAGTGGAACTTGAGTTGAGTTTTTTTAAGACTTTTAAGACACTTTTAAAATTGTTATTTTGTTTCACTGTGTTTTGGGTGCATTGGGTTTATCATGAGTGTGTGTGTTTCTTTCATATCTATTCCCTTAAATATGTTCATGCATCTTTCTCATGAAGCTCTATACCTGGTGAAGTCAATCCTGGATCATAGCGCATCTTCAGATCGGACCAGTCCTGCTCCGATAAGAACTCCTCTTCCTGTCCGAAGGGACTCGGCAGGGTTTCGGGCTCCAGTCGGTCAAGGAGGAGCAGCTGGACCCGGGACAGGGAGCCCAGATTCCCTGAGTCACAGCCCACTGTCAGTGCTGCCAGGCCGGGAGTCAGCTCTGCAGGGGGAAACAACAAAGTCTGAAATATTAGGAAAACAACCTGCGGCGCTGTGGCACTGTGAAACAGGTTTGCTTTTACATCACTGACATAAAAATAATCCATCCATTTTCTGCCACTTATTTGGGCTCGGAACATCCCTCTCTCTAGCCATGTTTTCAAGCTACTCCTGGCGGATCTTGAGGTGCAGCAAGCCAGAGAGATATATAATATATCCAGCATGTTCTGGGTCTACCCAGGAGTCTCCTGCAAGTTGGCCGTGCCCTTAAAACCTTAGAGGGATAGCGCTGAGGGGGCATCCCAATCAGATGCCCGAACCCCTTGACTGGCTCCTTTCGACAGGAAGTAGCAGCAACTCTACTCCAAGCTTCCTCGTGATGTCTGAACCCAGATACCCTACGGAGGAAACTCATTTACGTTTGCTTATATCCATGACCTCATTCTTTTGGTCACTACCCACAGCTCATATAGGTGAGGGTTCGACTCAAAAATGGAAAGTTAAGAAAACACTAAATTCCCCACTGTGGTATGACAAAGGGATAAGACATCTAGAGCATGTAATGCAAGGCAGTAACTTTATTCCATTCCAGGATCTAGTGGCACAATATGGAATTAGCCATAATAGATTTCTGGAATTTCAACAGTTTAAATCCATAATTCAGGCTAGATTTAAGGATAAAATAATGGACTTAGATTTACCTCCAATGATAACAGACTTTCTTAAACTCTCGCCTCCAAAACTGTTATCAAAAGTATACATGTTACTGTTAAAAACAGATAGTTCAATCTCTCTCCCATTCTTAAAATGGGAAACAGATCTATCCATTAGTCCAGACCAAAACTTTTGGATGCAGATATGTTTAAATACCTTTAGAATGACTACAAATCCCAATCTACAACTTATACAGTATAAAACTCTCCATAGAACACACTATACTGGACAAAGGATGTTCAGAATGGGTCTTATGCAGTCAAACATCTGCCGGAACTGCTCAGGTAACATATCTGATAGTTACATGCATGCTATGTGGCAATGTACACCTGTTCAAAAGTTCTGGCAGAAGATATGTGAAGACCTATCGATATGGCTAAGTTACCCCGTCCCAGTTTCCCCATCACTCTGCGTGCTGGGGGACCTAAGTGACATTAGTATAGAGGTTGACACATCATACATGCTTCTCACTGCCTTATGCATCGCCAAGAAAACTATCCTCATGAACTGGAAGGCCAAAAAGAATATAAGTATCACCCAATATCGGAATCACCTTATAGATCACATTAGCATGGAGAAAATGTCTGCTGTAAAAAAAAACAAATTGACACAATTCCAATCTCTCTGGTCCCCCTTGATCAACTTTATCACTTAATGGGGGTGGGTGTGTACTGCCTTGCTGGTCAGGGTCCCGTACGGCTGGTAGGTGTGTCTGGGGGTGGGTTGATTCTTAGATGCATTGCGGTGCGGGCGTGGGGGACTTTTTCTAATTTTAAATGTTGGTTGATGGCATGGTGTTGGCGGGGGGGGGGGGGGGGCGGTGGTGCGGCGCTCGGGTTGCCTAGGGCGCGGGCTTGACGGGGGGACCGGTGTTTGCCCTGTATTCGGCGTGCCGCTGCTGCGGGGTGGGTAGCCACTCTGCTTAGGTGTCGCGAGGTTGTTGGTATCGGTGCGCGGGTGGTGATTTTGACTCGCGCGCTGTGCGGATGTGGTGGCACTCGGTGCTTGGCTGCCTCCCTGTGTGTCCTGTGTGTGGGTCCGGGTTGGGGGGAGGGGGCGGGCGGCGGGCATGGCGGTGGAGGTTGGTGGGGGGGGATGCTTGTGGTGGGTTTCGGTCTGGTGGTGAACGTGCGGCGTGGGTCACGGTGTAGCCGTGGGTGGGGTCTGTGGTCTCTCTGGCTGCGGGGGGGATGGGGGCGGTTTGCGCCGGCTGGCATCTCTCCTGCGCAGCGCATTACTTGGCTGTTGTGTGCCGCTAGTTAGATTGGTAGCGGGGTAGTGTTGATTGGCTCATCTGTAGGTCATTATTGGCTTGCGTGCTTGTCGGGGGTTGGGGGCATCGGGTGCGGGCCGGGACTGGGCTGGTGTGCGGCTCTGTCCTGTGTGCATGCTGTGCATCCTGATAATTGCATTTCGGTTCTCTGAGGGGTCTGGCGACTGGTTGTTGGAGGGGTGGGGGACCGGGAAGAAGGGGTTGACGGGGTGGGTTGGGGGTGCGGGCTGGTCCTTTTTGAGCTGGTTGGGGGGTGTCTCCTCTGGATTTTAGTGCCCGGACTGGATGCTTGGTGGTTGTGCCGGGATCCTGTGTATGGAGGGATTGTGCTTTGGGGTGTGTCGATGGTTGCTTGCAGTCGCGTCGCGGCCCTCTGGAGTGTGGTCGTGTTGAGTCCTAGGGGCTATTTGCATCTGCTGACTCCCTAGGGCGAGGGGCTGTTGCTGCTGTCGCGGGGTGATTGCTGTCTCTTTTCTTTGGGGACGGTGGGGGTTTGTGTGGGATGCTTCGCTGCTAGGGAGGGAAGGGAGCGGGGGTGGGGGTCTTCTGGCCTGACCTGGCCTGAGTGGCATTGCCTCCTGGGTGTGGGCCGACCTTCGGATCTGGGCTGTTGGGCGTTCTGTCCTTGGGTGGGGTCCTTGCTGCCCCGGACCTGCTCCCTTGGGGGCTGGTGGTGCTCGGAGTACTGCTGATTGTGGGGGAGCGGTGAGGTGAGGGGTTAGCAGTGGGGCTGCCGGAGGGGCCCCGGCGAGGACGGGGGATTGTTGGACTTTGGGTTGGGGCTGCACTGACCTGCCTCTGGAGTGTGTGGGGGTCTGGGGCACGGGGCTTTGGAGCCTCTGGGTCTGGGGCGGGTCTGCGCGCTGGGGGGGCTGGGCCCCCCTGGGCCGTCCTGGGGATGGGCGGGGTTGTCACTGACTCTGGGGTGCTACCGGTGCTAGAGGGGCTCTTGCTATAAGCCCTGGGCTGGAGGGACCTGGCGTCCTCCTGCTTAGGGGGGTGGGGGACGGGACTGAATAAATGATGGGGCCAGTCAGGAATCTGGTCTTCTAGCCTCCCTATGACCTCCTTCACCTTTCCCCCTTTGGTCATGTCTCACAACATACACCCTTAGGATCCTGGGGGACGGGCAGCCTGCAGGGCGTTTGGGGGGTGGGGCTGCTTTATTGCGGCCTCGCACTTCTTCCTCCCTCACTGCCTGCCCCTCAATTTTAATTACACATTAGACACAGAGGGCTTGGGGGGTGGGAGGGGCACGATGGGAGGCTCCACTACCTGACAGTTGTGGGGTGCCTGTGTCACAACTACTCCAATTTTAGTTGCACCTTAGTTACCACACACCTTATCTTCACTCCACCATACAACACTTCACAATCCATGACATGCATCCAACACAAAACAATACATTTACAGAGGCAGGCAGAGGGGTTGAAGGAGTGGGAGAGATTCTCATTGGCCTCGTGTCCTACCCCTGGAGCCCCGGGCGTTGGGGGTGCTGTGGGGTTGGTGGCGGCCTTGCCTGATCTGGGGTGGGCTGGGGGGGGTCGGGGCTCCCCTGGCGTGGGGGCCCGCCCTTGGCCTAGGGTTCTGCGGACTCGGGCTTGTGGCCTTTGCTCATTTCTGGGCGGGTGGTGTGTCCCTGGGCCTGGGGGCCCGTTGTCTCCTCTCCTCGCCTGGGCCCTCTTCGGCAGAGGTGAGGCTCCCGCTGCTTCCCCCTGCCAGCTCTCTCACGGTGGGGGCATTCGGGAGTCTCTGGGGCGCATGACCGGTGCTGTCGGGGTAGGTTTTGGTGCTCCTCCTTGGGGTGCTTGACTGGGGGGGCTGGGCCCCTGTCCGGGGATGAGATCGGCCTCGGGGGCTGCTGTCACTGGCTGCACTGTAGGGAGGGATGCCTCTGGCTGGGCTGGGGGACCGTTGGCCTGGTTCTCCCGCGTTATCGCTCCCTGGCGGTAGCGAGCTTCCCGGCACGGCTTTCTGCTGTTCTTCCTTGGGGCGGGGTACAGCTTCCCCCTGGACATGCGGTCTGGGGTCCTTTGCGCTTTGGGGGGTCGCAGGGTGTCCTGGCTTCTGGGGGTGGGGGTCTGCGGTGGGATTGTGGGGCGATTATCGATGCATCTTGATGTATTATACTTTTTCCCTGGGCAGGGTCTCTGGATGGCTGCTGGGCGTTTAGTTTGTGCGTTGGAGTCCGGGGAGGCATCTCCTCATTGGCTTGGAGGGACCTGTTTGCGTTCCTGTTTTGCTTCGTTGGCCTCGGATCCGTGCTTGCCCATTTCTCTGTCGGCCAGTTGTTGGACCCCTCTGGATACTGAGGTATATAGTTAGTTTTCGGGATGTGCAGTGTGGGTGCGGGGCAGGGCTGTGCTCCGGTTTGTTCTGGGTTTGTGCCTGGAGTTCTCGGCCCTTGATGGATGGGTGGGTTGTTGGTGGCATGCAGCTGAGCTAGTTGATTTTGCCTCGTTGCTGGTTTGGCTGGTGTTGCATGGCGGCCGGGGGGCGCGCTGGGCATGGGGGATGTCGGCTGGCGCCGGCGGCCTTAGTTTTTTCCGGCGGTTGGGGGGACGGTGGACTTTTATTGGCGGGTGCACGGTGACCTGTGCGGCGCGTTTGCTGCCGGGCTGGGACTTGCTGCTGGTGTCTCTCTCCGCTGGCTTTCGCTGTCGTGTTGTTCCGTTTGCTCTCTCTCATTTGCCCGACCTCGCACGCGGGATTCGCGGGGGGCTGCTGGGCATGGGTGTCGCCGTGCTCGCGCAGTGTGCGCGTTGGGCTCGTCACTTGTGCATTGGTGTTGATGACTGCGTGGCATTTGGGCATTGTGGTTGTTTGCTGCGCGGCGGTGGGGTGCTGGATGGGGGAGGCCACTGGTCTATGTTGTGTCTGCGCCGCGGTCGGTCCGGGCGCTGCTCTTCCTCTTTTGCGTTCCGTCGGCATTACGTTGTCAACTGGCATTTGGGTCGGGGTCTTCTGCGTTTGCATCGCGGTGCATCTGGGAGTCTTTGTTTTTTTTTGATTTG